ATATAAATATATATGTGCTCTCTAAAATTGAAATTAACAGGAATAAATGTTGCACAGTATATGTTTTGAATGGACAGTATCCTACTGCTGGTGGAGAAGATAGACTTAATGAGCTCCATCGAGAATGCAATGAGCAACTTTACTCAACTATTTAGTACGAGATGCGAATCAACTGACACGCCATAACTTGCACTCATAAATTGTAATCAACGAATATATAAGAACGTGCGTGATTTTTTTGGTATTCTTGGCTACATGCTTGCACTTTATCAATGTGCATGAGTGATGAAGTGAAGCTACAATTTTTACCAAAGAATTTTGGTATTCAAGTAATGGTTAATTTTGGTCCAATTTGTGGCTAAATTTGTGGTATTTTTTTTCAATAGCTTATTACACATATTTTGTTCTTTTGGGATTTATGATTATTATAATCATATTTTATATTGTAATTTTATTCATAAAACTAAAGGTTATTTGAGGTAAAAACCATTGGATTAGACAGATTTTATTTGATATTTATTGTTAATTTTTTTTGAATAAGAGAAATTTTGACAATAAAAAAGATTTGAATATAAAACTCAAAATATTATTATTTTGATATTTATTAAAAAAAAAAACTATTAACCCATTCCGTGTTTGACCAAATATCTACCATTAATTAATATTAACTATTTTTTTATAACTTTATTAAAGAGGGCCCTGAGTCTATGAAATCTAGTACCTAAACTAAAAAAGAAAAAAAAAAAAAAGAAGAAGGTAAAACAAACAGTCAAACAGTCAAGAACCCAATCCTTGAACTAGGTAACACTTTGAAGTTTGAACATTCTTGGTACTTTATGCCCCAAAAAAATAAAAATAAAATAAATAAAAAGAGACATCACGGTACTTTGAGACATGGCATGAAGGCATGAAGACATGAAGATAGAAGTAATAAAGATTTTCCTTTTCAAGAAATTTCTTTTTTAATTTAATTCCCAAAAATAGAAACTAGAAAAAAAAAAAAGGATTAGTACAATTTACAGACAGGCAAAAATCTTACAAAAAAAAAAAAAAGTACCAAAAAAAGCCAGTAGTAAAAAATACAGTAGCGTAGAAAAATTTTTGCAGAAGTGGTAATTTTCAGATATTTTACATCTGCAATTGGATTTTACCTTAAACCGGCAGTAAATCGAAAAATCTGAGGTGTCAGTTTGAGGATTCCTACTTTGGATCACGAGGAAACCAAAACATCATTATCTTTAGCAAATTTTTATTCCTACATCAGTCAGTTTTCACTTGGTCAATTGTTCCTAATTTTATGGAAATTAAAGCAAGTATTTTTTAATTTATTTTTAACAAATTTAATTTGATTTTTTTAATTTTTAAAATGTAAATTTTAAATAAAAATTTAATAATTTATATAAATACTAATTAAAATTTTTATATATAAAATTTTTATCAAATATTTTTATTTAATA